AAATACTTCCCCAAAATTCGACAGTAGCTATTTTTCATAAAAGCAAAAAACCCAAAAGATGAAAAAAACAAAAAATTAACAAGAATTTGATCTAGGGCTCAGGGCTATGCACGACACGAGTGTGTCGTGCAACATAACATGTCTCGTGTCGTGCGTCAATCGCATAAGGCACCATGTGTCGTGCAGCATGACACAATGTCACGTTGTACAGACTGCATAGGAAAATTTCAACAGCCCATCTTCTTGTTTTTCCACACTTACGCGGCTTTTTGGTATGTCCTGATTTCCTGTTTTTATTTTCTGTGAGTTACGAAAAAAATAGAAAAGATAATAAAAAGAGGCTTTTTAAAACTTTTCTTGCTTTTTAACTTATCATATTCTTTTTTGCCTTATATGAATGCTTTGGGTTTTTGTCTTTATCCCTTGCAGAAGAATTTTTATATTTATTGAAATATAAAAGCTAAAATGACAAAAAGAAGAAGAAAACAATTCAGTAAAAACTAAACCTATAAAAAATGAAAGATAAATAAATTTAAAGAAAATTTCTCTTATCGTCTTTTTTTGGACTAAAAGATTGTTATTTTAACCTTATCCTTTCTCTTGAGAAAGGTCCTAGCTGCCTCTCGTTTTTCCTAAAATTCGTTGGAGCAAAACAGAAAGTCGTAGACTTGCTGCCTTAAATTATCTATTACGCCATCATCCACAAATTGCTTTCAAGAGAATGGAGAAGATTTCGTTTATTATTGCGTGGTGCACACGTTTCTTTTAACTTATTTAGGGTCCCTCACGAGAGAGTTGAACCAAGTCAATGGAAACGAGTCGATGATTTTTTCGATATCAAATTTTGAGATCCAGTTTATGATTTTCTAAAAAGAATTTAGTTGTGACAAATTGTTTTAAGATGTATACAAGTAAGTGATCCATTTAAAACAATTGAAACTAATGATCCAAAAGTATTCTTATTAGAAATATTATTTCTAGTTTTTATATTTATTCATATTCATGATATCCATGTTAGAGATTACATGTCTTTAAAAATTAAATAAAAAAATCTATCTCAAAAATAGATTTATTAATAGATCCGTATTTCTACATATGCGGGCTTGGCCTCATGAAAACCCTTTTAGTTTTTGAGTGCCTTAATACCCATATTTAATTGTATGGAAATTGGACTGCCTTTATCTTTGTTCACTCTTACGACATTATCCACACCAGGCACATATAAAATGTGTATAATCTTACTTTTTCTTTTTGATAGGTTGAGGAATAATTGTTTCAAGAATTTAGAAACCTAAATGTATTCCTAGATAGGGTTTTCTTGAAAGTAAATGGATAATATGCTCTTTTAGAACTATGATTTTTTGGCTCGCAAGCCAGAAGGTCTAAGGATTTCTTCAATCTAAAATTTTGGGAATCACTTTAAATCCATTCTCAAAAATAAGTTTAGATTTTTTATTGTCCACACACTTACATTCCACATCCCTTTCGGATGGTCCTTGGAAATTAATTTCTAGGAAAATGAGGCATTTCTAGTTATTTCCAATAATTGACACTGGAGAAGTCTTCTAGTATTTTTCTTTATATTCGGGAAAAGAGATCTTCTAGTGAATATTTGAAAATCCGTTCCCCACGAACCCTCAATCACTGCTTTCTTTGAAACTTTCAATATTCTTTTTCTAGGGAACCAAATGGGCCCTTATATCTTACTATCAAATAATTAGGTTGTTTGTAATCGACATTATGGCATCATTTTTTCCATGTACATAAAGTGCGTATTATTTATTTTTTGACTTATTTTTTTGGTTTTAGTTGCTTCTGAAAAACTTAATAACTTTTTTTTCTTGACAAGAAAAAAAAAAGCTTAAAAACTCCATGGCATACCCAATGGAGTGAATGGACTATATGATTGGCCATGGCATATGATGTTTTAAGCATGCTTAAAACCCTTACTCTCGTGTTGAGGGCCACTTGCAAAGCTTTCATTTCTCATTTCTATGATGACTTTATTGTCTCTGCTCTTGACTAGATATAGCCTCCCATGTCATGTGGAAAAGTGCCTTAATTGAGATTGAAATGAATAGTAAATTGCAAAACTAATTAAAAGGATAGATACTTTTAGAAAAATAAATAATGAAAAGAAAAAAATAAGTGTTTTTCCTTTTTTAAAAAAAACTTTCTAAAAAAATCCCATTCGATAGTTTTAATATTATTTTAGATATTTCCAAAACAACAAAGGGAAAAATCAATTAAGGATTCAAAATCCTTTACAAAATTATTTAAGGGTCAAAACTGTCAATTAACACTGGGGATTTTACTGTTTAGTTTTCATACCATGAGGGTACCTCCTTAAAAGATATTGGGAAATTAATAAAATCCTTTTTGAAATTTACAAATAGACTTGTGTATTCTATATTGTACAAATACGTTTCAGTTTTTTAGTAAATATTGCATTTTAATTTAATTATTTATTCTCTATATACGTGTCTATACTTCTCACTATAATGCACGAGCACAAAAATACAAATTTTATAATTAAAATAAAAATAACCAAAATTCCCTATACAAATTTAAAATTTTTGGAGGTATTTTAGTTATTTTATGTATTTTTTATTTATTTTTATACTTTTTACAAATGTGATATGGTGAGAACTATAACTCCCAAATTGAAACTTTGAAGTGGTACTTGAGCATAAAATATTAAATATACAACTATTTAACTTGGTAATAAAATGAGAAATTTTCATAAATCTAATAGAAATATTTTTAAAATGCTCAAATTGGCCTTACGGCTCTTGCGGTGGTTCTCAAGCACCTGTTATAGAACAAGAAACTACATTTATGGAAATATAGTAAAAGATGTTTAAATTGCCCTTTTTCAAGAACCTAAATAAGATGGTCCATTTTGTAATATACCCTCGAAGGGGATGATGCCAAATAAAAAAGAATGAAAATGTATACAATGAGATCGTTTATTTTTTATACAAAGAGGTTTATTGATCGTTAGTTTTGAAATCGGGTGGTGAAGATGCATTGTTTGAGAATAGAGACCAAAAATAAAATTTCTTGAATGTTGTAACTTAAAAATAAATTACCTCATAATATACAATCCTAATACAAAAAATATCCCTAATTGTTTTATTTAGAGCAACATGAAATTGATGATGAGAAAAAAATTCATGGGGTTGTAAGGAGTAACACATTTTTATCTGTAAGACCTTTAACTCTTTTGATTGAGTCACTCCAGGGGGTTAAATTACCACATTACCTTACTGTGTTAGAATTCCCAATCTTGAGTTAGAACAAATTAGTCCATTTTTTTTTATAGTAGTATTTATGACTTACAGTTTATTAGAAGTTTGGAAAGATGTTATAGAATCTAAAAATTTTAAAATTAGTCTGTCAAAGGCAGAACATATGGATTGTAAGTTCAATAATAATAGGAGTATAGATGAGGAAATGGTTAAGATTTATGACCAAGAAATACAAAAAAAAAAAAAAAAAAATTTCGATGTCTTAGCTTGATAATCCAGAAAAATGAAGAGGTTAAGGAAGATGTTGTACATAGAATTAGAGTTGGGTAGTTGAAGTAAAGATGTACAACCAGAATTTTATGTGATCGCCGTATACTAATAAAGTTGAAGGGAAAGTTTTATAGGACATTTGTGAGACCCGTTTTGCTTTATGGGGCAAAATGTTGGGTGGTTAAAAAACAACAAACCTATATGATGAGCGTAGCTTAGATGATGATGTTGAGATGGATGAGTGGTAAAGGCATATAATTCAAAATGAATACAGTTAAGAGAATTTAGGTGTGGCTTCAATAGGCAATAAGATGGGAGAATATAGACTTAGGTGGGTCGGCATGTGCAACACAACCTAATGTAACAGTTGTTAAGAAATGCATGTTTATTCAAATAAAAATCTCAAAAAGTGCAAGGGGTAGGCCCAGAGGATATGATTACAAGTATTGAGGAAATATATGGGGACTTAAGGCCTCAATGTGGGTATGACTCTTTATAGATTATCATGACGTGATTACAAGTATTGAGGAAATATATGGGGACTTAAGGCCTCAATGTGGGTATGACTCTTTATAGATTATCATGACGTACCCAGATTAGTATAGCTCAACCCAAATAGTTGACAAAAAGTTCTAATTATGATAAAGAGTCCAATAAAATTTGAAAGCAACACCTTAATAGTATGGAAGATGATAACTAAGAAAGATGATTTGATGACATAATTATCTTACCTTAACGATGATATGTAAGATGATAACTAAGAAAGATGATTTGATGATATAATTATCTTGTAAGATGATTTTACTAATGGAAAATTGTTTCACGAGGGCTAGACCATATTTCTACAATTTGTGGTTCGAAGGTATAAAGTATCGATCTTAAAGACGAATGCAAATAAGTGGTCCGTCTCAAAATAATTGAAACTAACAATCTAAATATTTTTTTAATAGAATTATTATTTTTATTTATGAAAAATTATTTATTTCTTTATATCCATGATCTCCGTGTTAGAAATTACATGTTCTTAAAAATTAAGTCCAAAAATCCACATTAAAAATAGATTTTAAAAAGGTGACTCATTTCTATATGGACTCATAGACACACCTTTATTAATTTGACACGAGAGAGTACAGAGGCCATTTATTTTTAATACAAAATAGTCACAATTAATCTTGATAATTGAATATAAAATTGGGTGGCTGCATTTATTTATTGACCGAACTCAAAATTGAAAATTTTTGTTTAAATTTTTTTTATGATACACGCAAGCAACCAAATTTTACATGATATGGTTCAAGATATCGTTGTTCACTGTACATCTTCGAAAAAGAAAAAAAGAGTCATGCTGTACAACCGAGTGGGTGTCATTTCAGTTATTTAAATAAGAAAAAACAACGATGGGCATTTCCGTCCGGCATCGTAATTATCCCCCGGTCTTAGGCGATTAATAACAGTCGCCATCGTACGTCCCGAAATTTCTTGGTACCTGCTATTTTTTCCTTCTCCATTCTTGTCTCCCTGTCTTCCTTGTGCAAGTACGCTTTCTCTCTCATATCGGTGTTTCTCGTGTTGCAGAGAGAGAGAGAAAGAGTAGTACATCAGTACTTCTCTCTTGCTGCCATAAAAGCCTGGGATTTCTCGCCGTTTAAGAACCATGCCACCTCTCTGCATCTCCCTCCCATTAAAAACCCTAGAAAATCATCTTCTCCATTCATGGCCGGAAAATCCCCCTTTTCGGCCGTTTTTCTACTGTTTTTCCTCGTTGCATCGGTTTCGGGCCATGGATCCAAAGAAGATGATGAAAACTCGCCGGATAAACCAGATCTTAGGGCAAAAGAATTGATTCTGGTGAAGATCTGGTGCTTGATCTTGGTTTTTGCAGGGACTTTTATAGGAGGAATTTCTCCATATTTTTTAAAGTGGAATGAGAGTTTCTTAGTGTTAGGGACTCAATTTGCAGGGGGTGTATTTTTAGGAACATCGATGATGCATTTTCTCAGTGATTCTAACGAAACATTTGGTGATCTCACTGATGTTGAATATCCCTTTGCGTTCATGCTCGCTTGTGCTGGTTATTTGTTGACTATGGCTTCAGATGTTGTAATTTCATTTTTGTATGGGAGGAGAGAGGAGAGAGGAGATGCAGAAAATGGAGGAGCTGCAGGTAAAGTGAGGGATTTGGATGTGAAAAATGTTTTTGATTATTTTTTTTGGACCTTTTTTATTTGATTGAATGAAATGAATTCTTTCTTCTGGACTTTTAAGTAGTCAAGTTAGTGACAAAAATGAAGTTTACTTATTTCTAAGTCATGTCAGTATGGATAATTTGCTGTTGAGTCGATTCTGTACAAATGAACTGTTCTTTCTTGCAAGCTTATGGTTAATATTGCTCGCTATTTACGTAAAACTGTAGATTTTGTGGGGATGTAATGTCAGCTATTTATTATGGCAGCTGGAATTTGTTTTTTTGTCTGATATTGTTAATTTTTTAGGAGTTTGGCCTACTTTGTTTTAGTTTTCTCTTTTTTTTTTTGGATTTTTGAATTGTTCAGCGGCAACATAGGGATTATTCAGGTTCTTTTTCTACTGTAACTTGTTTCTCTCTATAAATTTGGATGCCGGTGCTAAAGGGGGGGACCGTGTGGTGCTCTTTTTGCCCCCTTCTTTTATTGCTTATACGTCAGCCGATGTGATACATTCATATTTTTTAAATTGAATGGCTTTGTTTCTGTGAAGTATCATTTAGCTCCTTTTCTGTATAGCATTCTTCTTATTGTTTTCCTGTCCTGCCAGCTGACTCTATGATTGTTGAAAGAAAACCGTTAGATTCTACTTATTTTTTATAACTTCCAAAATCTTTAGTACTTTTTCAATTTTTTAATGGTTTTCTTCTTGTACTTTCTCTAAAGTTTCTGATGCGCAATATTGATTCCCTAAGGTTTCTTCTTTTCTCTGAGAAGACTAATGATTTCTGTTGGGTTCTTTCGTAAGAGACTTGATTCTGTCTTGGGTTCGTATTAAATCAAAGGAAATCGCCACTTGATGAATACAAGAAGCTAAAATCTGGATTCAAAGGAGAGAGTCAACTCCTAAACAGTGTCTTCAGAATTGGCTGAGTCCACTCGGACTCAGCTGTGTAACTCAGCCTTAACCTATTGACCAGACAAGTTGGTCGCCATAGGTAAGAAATAATATTAAAAAAATTAGAACATAAAAAGAAAAAGTGAAAATATCAATTTACTTATTTGTAATATGTTTTTAGATGATTTTATCGTTTATAAGATGATATTGGAACTCTTTTCTTTTTTAGAAATATTAATGGTATAAATCAAAGTTTTCAATAACCTATCTTTTATATGTTTTTTCATCTCATGTAGTCTTTTAATGATTTCCATCATGTATTTTATTTTGGCTATTTTTTAAATATTTTAACAAAATATTGACCTTTTTTTTTTTTTTCTGTTCCTTGGGGTGAGCAGGACTCGGGCGAGTCAATTACTGAGTAACTCGTGTCGGGCCGGTAGCAAGGTTTTGGACTGAGGCGATTCAGAAAACATTGCTCCTAAGTTTAAGCATTCTCAATTTCATTTTATGCGTTATTCTATTTCTGAATTTTTCTTTTCTTAACATCATTGTTCAAAACCAAGGCTCAGAATCTTGATTTCAGTAGGGTCACACGTCCTAGTCGTCCGTATAGAAAGACTATCAGAGACTCATCCTGAGTCTGTACAAGTTATAAAAATAAATATAGGAAGCAGAGGAGTTTGACTGCTTCCTACAGTCCTACTCAGTCTAGGCACCTTGTCGAGACTGAATAACTAGGCAAGTTTGACTCATCCTAGTTTAGAACATTGCTTGATATTCATGTAAGATATGAAAAGTATTTGACCTGTCTTCGTTTGTGGAAGTATCGAGCAATCTGCCAATTTGTTGGAGATGGACTCTATTAAAAAATACTGATGTGGGTTTTGTGCAAGATTAGGATATGGCACTTTCATTTTCTTTTCTTTTTCTTTTTTCCTGTTTTTCCAAATAAAGAAAAAATAATTTGGCTGTTTTGGGTGTTTCTTGTTTGTATCATGAATAACTGAGAAGAATCATGTTTATTTCAGGAAGTTCTCAAGTAAGCAAATATGGTGGCTATGGTCATACTCATTCCAATGTACAGGTGAGATGTTGACTAGATTCTTTCTATCCTTTGTTGTCGCCATTTCCATAGCCTCTTTATTTCTTATCCTTTTTTTTTTTGTTTTGTTTTGTTTTGTAGTCTTTTATTTTTGAAAAGGATGTGATTTTTGTCTACTAGAAAATTCTTTTTTATCTTGTCTGTTGGGTTCTTTCCATAACTATGACTGTTACTTTTAACTGATTCTCTAAATTTTTCTCAGAACGGTGACTTAATTTTGATTGCTTCCTTATTCTTGTTATCTTAGATAAGTTTTTAATTGTAGAACTAAACTGGTGGTAGAAAAACCTAGAATGTTTCTATTTGATTTTGTGTTTGAAACAGTGTTGTTAGACATGGCCAAGTAAATTGGCCTCACCCTTATTGGCGAGGTGAGTTGGTCACAAGTTGGGTGCCCAATGAGTTGGACACCAAACAATAGCTAAAAAATTACAAAAATGTGGGACATACCAATATATTATTTAGAAATACTTGTTTAGATGATTTTGATGGTTTTCAAGATGATGTGGGATCTTTCACATGTTTTCCTTTTCTCTTTTAATTTTTCTGAAACATTCAAGTTATAAATAACAAATTTCAATAATCCATCTTTTATAGACTTTTCATCTTCTTTAGTCTTCTAACAATTTCTATTTCCTCTTTTATTTTTTCTTGATTGTTAACTATTTTGTACAAAGTTTTTGCTTTGTTTTGTCTTCTTGACATTTTTGGTGGTGTACATGACTCGGCCGATGTCCACTCAAACTGGGCCTAGTTATTTGGCCCAGGGCCATGTACCTTGGCTGAGGTGAGCAATAAAAACTTTGGTTTGCACACATGGTTTTATTGGATTATCGATATATTTAAAAGCTAAAGTTCATTTGGCTCGATGCAGGCTGGAATTGGCAATGTTAGTTCACTTGGGGACAGCATACTCTTGATTGTTGCGCTATGTTTTCATTCTGTATTTGAAGGCATCGCTATTGGAGTTGCAGGTATTCACTCTACATTTTTATTAATTACTTTTACCATTTTAGCAATGCAGAAAAGTATATTGTACTCTAATGGTCTATTGAATATGTTGCGCCAAAGGGAGTTATTAGCCATGATAATGATGTGTGGGGATTAACCATAGTGGGGCGCACAAAATCCTCTCAAGAATTTGAACATCCACCATCGTAGGTCGATACCCATATTATCAGGCACCAAATTTTCGTGTGGTACCTTGTGTACCAAACAAATTGTTTCATCAAAATGGGACTAGCTACTGTGATTAAAATGTGAAGTTTCTCTTTGCATACTATGAGGGCCTGTTTGGATGGCCTTGTTATCACCTATAATTCACTATCTCAATAAAGTTAATCTTGATAACAAATTATCTGTTGTTTGGTAGTGTCCATCATTAAGTTATAATAGTTATTTGAGATGAAGTCATAGGTGGTTCTACAAACAAGTTTATCTTTTCAGAAAACGTTTTTTACTTTGTTCAAGGTAATTTGCTGAAAATTATATTTTTTGGCCAAAATAGCTAAAAATAGCTGGAAATCACACTGAAGAAGTTAACTAATTCAATAGTATTGTACATAATAAAGGTGCATGCTGAACAACCAACAAAATAATATTATCCAAAGTATGTTAATTTTATTAAGATTGTCTATTCCAGATAAATATAGTTGTGATGCAAACAGGCAAGCGATTGTTATTATCCTGGATATCTTCAGTTCTCATATAGCACACCTTACTGATTTACTTAATATTGGAGGAACATTACGATAATGCACCCATCAAGAAAACAAAATCATAGTCATAGTGTCAATGAAATTCATTAAATGCCCCTGTCAATAGTTATGATTAATTGATTCTTTTTGGAGTAGTCATAATGCCTGGGTTACTCTCTGAATGTTTGATACTCTGTTGCCCGAAAAGTCTCGGCGAAAATGATGGTAACCCATATGTTTCCAACCCAGTCCAAGGTGAGCAGCTTCAAACTTGGAATGCCGTAACAGTTGTTGTGCCCCATCTCCATGGTTCCAATAGCTGCCCCAGTTATAATTCCTTCAAGCCAAACCAAGACCTGCTGCTTCTCTCCCCCTTTCTGCCCTCCCGCTTTCTCCGCTCCTTTCAGCTTGCTCAGTGGCCATGGTGGCATAGTTGTATAGAAAGATCTCTCTTGGTAGCCATGGTGCACAGTTGTGGATAGAAGATTTCGTTAGACATTACTACGTGAGAAAGGTTAGGACCTGATGAGTGATGAGTGAGAAGACAGATGAGAAAAAAAGAGGTCGATGGCTCTTTTGGTTTGGCTTGTGGTTTGGGGTGTGTTTTGGTGGATGAAGATTGAATTGGGCATCACAGATGCCAAAACCCTTCAAAAGTTTTTTTTTTTTGGTTTTTACATATCAGTTAGTTTTCCTCAAACCATCGTATTCAAAAAAAGAAAAAATAAAGTCCTTCACACCATGTATCAAGGTGGCATTCAAACATGAACTATTTTTTTTTTAAATATAAAGTCAATATATAGAGAACAACGAATCCTGATTATTCAAACTACATTCTGTCATCAATTCTCGAAAGTAAAATTAAAAGTCATTTTTTTACCACAAAAGAAAACCATCATTGCCTTTGATGCCTTGTTTGAACTGCAGAGACCAAAGATGATGCATGGAGAGTTCTATGGACTGTGTGTTTACATAAGATTTTTGCAGCCATTGCAATGGGCATTGCCCTTTTACGTATGATCCCTGAACGTCCGTTACTGTCATGCTCTGCATATGCATTTGCATTTGCTATATCAAGCCCCATTGGAGTGGTCATTGGCATAGTCATAGATGCCACCACTCAAGGTACAGTGGCTGATTGGATCTATGCGATATCAATGGGTTTAGCATGTGGCATATTCATCTATGTATCCATAAACCATCTTCTTTCGAAAGGGTATGCACCCCAAAAACCAGCTCTAGTCGACTCCCCGTTCTACAAGTTCTTGGCTGTGCTCTTGGGTGTAACAGTCATTGCGATAGTTATGATCTGGGATACTTGATTTGTGATCTTTTGCAATGGATTCTGGTTTTATTTTCGTTGTGAAGGAGTAGCAGGTTTCTAGCAGTAGACTCACCTTTTCTGATTGTATTTGTAGTATGCATAGACACAGTGAAACTTCGGAGAACAATGAATTTATAACCAGGCATAGAGACCTTGTGAATAACGACAACAATCATCCAACATCTTTCTCTATGTGAAATTATTCATGGGCATGGAGACCTTGTATAGAGCAATGAGAAAATGAATTGGAAGATGATTTATTGCAAACTTGTTTTGGGTTTGGCTCGTGCTTTTTGTTTCTTAATATTTCACGCAGGGGGTCAAGTGAAAATACTTGAATTGGAAGATTTATTACACGGTTGAGGTTTAGGGGATCAAGTGAGAATACTGTCATTAAAATATTTTCACTCGTACCAAATGTGCCTTTATTGTTGAGTGAACCACTATTAAGACTAAGTCTTTTCATAAAAACATGATTCTTTATTTATAATCTCTTTGTAAAAATTGATATTTAACCCTATGGCTGTCTTCGGATCTCTTGATTCTTCCAATTTTATTTTATTATTATTTTGTCTTGATCCCGACCGATCAGTATACAGTCGGTGACCGGTTCAATTCGCCATGTTTATTTTCAAACGCTGAAGGCTATCCCGTCAATGTACCACGCATAATACCGGGAGGTTTGGCGTGGCATTGTAAATTGACGGCCCACAAAAAAGATGACATTACTTCCGAACACTGGCAAAATCAATTAAGCGAATGAATGCTTTTTGGACCCCAAACTTTAGAGATCTCTAGTCATGGTGGCAACCATGAAATCAGGCTAAACCGTCAAGAAAAGCTCTCGTCATGAGTAGGGACGCGTATCCACTTTTTTCAAGACAATAAGACAGGTCTTTAAGAAATTAAATCTCTCTTTGTTTGAAAATTATTCGTATGATGATTTCAAGATAATTGTTTAAAGGACATGGTTTCTACATTTCCATGTAGAAATGAGTCTTGTTAGAGATGGATTTTTGGACCAAATTTTTATAGATATAATCTCTAATCATGAATATGAAAAAATAAATAAATTTAAAAATTAAAAAATAAAAATAGCTGTTTTTACAAAGAAAAACATTTGGAAGGTTAGTTTCACCTAAACTATTTTTAGATGAACCGTCCATTTGCATCCATCTTTAAATCTTTAAAATGGATGCTTTAGACCACAGAGGATGCAATTGTAGAAATGCGTCCCCAACTCATAAAACAATTTTCCATTCTTAAATTGCGTGCGGGATGTATAGAGCCGAGGCTCTAAACAATCAAATAGATTCCACCTTCAAATGGTGCTGAGAAATTTGGTTTCAATAGTAGAAATCTTTGTGATAGTCTTAAAATATATTTTCATCTTTAATTATAAAATTAGGGTAATCATCTCAAATATACTTATATTTTAGTTTAATTGGAAAAAAACCCCTTTCAAAAACTTCTTCTAAACCCATTTTCTTCATTTTCGGATTTTTTTGGGCAAAAATGACCTTCATGGTAATCGTTTTATCGTAATTCATATGAGCAATGATTTAATGCAATTGTATCATAGTATAATACAATGTCACTTTTAGAAAACCATGTTTGTGGTATTTGTATGACCCCAAATTTTACACACACTCTCTCCTCATCTCAATAATTAATCTCCCAAAAAAAAAGTTACTCTAAACCCTAGATATGGTCAAAATGAGTCTCCTCTAAAAACAAATCTAGACCATTCATTTTGTGAATTTCAAGATATTAGCCTTTATAAACTCAAAATCATTTTTTTCTTTTTTAACATTGTTCATCTAATGATAATAAAGCCATCCAAAAACAATGAAAATGAGAATGAAAAAAATCCTTTCAAGGCCTAGATCTAAGCATCTCACTAAAATGAACGGCCTATGTTAATTGGGCTAAAAAAATACTTTCTAGGTTGTGTTTTCAAATATTTTTTTTTTTTTGTGATTGATTATTAGAATGATAAGAGTGCATATTTCAAAATTTGGATCAAATAAATGGCCATTAGATGGTTTTTTAATGTTGTTGCATCATATTACTATACAACCGTCGCAAGAAATCATTGCCCAATTCATATTAAGTTTTACGGTAATTAAAATACCGTAATAACTTGAAGTAGTATTACGGTACTTTAAGTACCGTAATAGATAACATTTTCTTTACGACATTCTTTCTACCAAAACTAGGCTCCATTATGGCTTCCTTCCCGACCAATGAGGGAGAGGAGAGACAGACAAGACTTGGAAGAGAGAGGGGTTTTATGTGTGAGAGAGAGAGATTTGAGAGAAGGAGAACAAAGTGGTGTGGAGAGAAAGAGAGAGTTTAGGAGTGGATGGAGATGAAATAGAGATAAGGACGGGCGGGAGAGTTGAAAGGGATAAAGATGGTTTGTTGGGGGGAATGAGAGAGATAGAGAGGGAAAGTTAAGAGAAAGAGGGGTACGTGGGATTAAAAGTGCCGTATAAAATGAGTTAAACATTACAATAGTTAAAGTATCGTATAAAATGGAAACATTACGGTAGAAAGAATGACGTAAAGAAAATGTTATCTATTACGGTACTTAAAGTACCGTAATACTACTTCAAGTTATTACGGCATTTTAATTACTGTAATACTACTTCAAGTTATTACGATATTTTAATTATCGTAAAACTTAATATGAAAAATATGGTAAAACAACTATTGCGAAGGTTATTTTCGTAAAAAATACTCTGAAAATGAATAAAAAGGGTGTAAACGAGGTTTTTGAAAGTTGGGTTTTTTTTTTTCCAATTAAGCAAAAATATAGGTATATTTGTGATAATTACCCTATAAAATTTAAAGCGTAAAAAATAGTGCAGATAGAGCAGATCTATAAAAACTTGATAATTTTAAAAATTGACGATCCAAAAAATACACTACAAGATGCACTATTTTCAAAACTTGAAATCCATTTTCTTCTCATGTCCATGCATATTGATATTGAGATGATCAATTTGAGGATATTTAGGTATCAAAACAACATCTTCTAATGAATTTTTTTAGGTGCGTTCTAATTTGATTGTTTAGAGCCTTGGTTCTATATAAACTTTTCCTTTTAAATTTCAGATTCACCAGAAAGTAGGTCTTTTGCCTTCAGGAGCAAGCATTGCATGAGCAAATCCAGTGTGCCTATCTCGATAGCTTGGGGGAAAACCATGGCTGAAAGGTTCTTACCCTTTCGTACGGTTGCTCACAAGAGAAGGGAGAGGGGACTGATAGTACCGGTGGAGGAGCAAGGCTTACCAATAGTGGTGATTGATCTTGATGAAGGAGCAAGGCTTACCAATAGTGGTGATTGATCTTGATGAAGGAGTGGATGTTCAGCCTATTCAAATGATCCCAACTGCGGAGTCCATGTCGATATCCTCTGGATATTTGTATGGTACCAGTGGCAATATGGCTGAGATTCCATAGCCGGAAGAGGAAGGGGAAACTCCGGTGAATCTAGGTAAGGCTGACGAAGAAGAAGGAGATAGGACAACTGAGGAGGAGGTGGCTATGGCAGATGAACCTAAAGACTATGCTGCCAAGTTCTCTGACATTGGCATGGACTTTAATGTGCCTGTTGCAAGGGTCTTGGATACTATCAAGGAGAGGGTGAGAGCTGAAAAGTTGAATGGGGCTTCGGGGGTGGTTATTTCTGATGATTTTGTTGAACCAGAGTTGGCTTTGGGGGTGGTTATTTCGGATGATGTTACTGAACCAGAGTTGGCTTCGGGGATGGTTATTTTTGATGATGTTGTTGCATAGCAGCAGGAACCACAGTTGGGAGTAGCTGTGGTAACGCCATAAAGATCATCCACTAGGATTGTGGCCCTTAGGGGGAATGTTTCTAGATGCATTGTTATTGAGACCTTTGCTATAGGGAAGAAGACGACTACAACATGCTCTTGCTCCTCCTCTTCGGATGCCATGACTGCCGGTATGGCCAATGCCGCCAGGAATGGTTCAACCTCCCATTGATATGAAAGTGATTAATTTGAATGTTTGGGGTTTGGGGCCGTGAGGAGAAAAAGGGAGTTGTTGATGATGGTTAAGTCCAACAAGCCTTATAGTTTGCTGTTATAGGAAACAAAGTTGCCTAGACCTACCGTTAGTTTAGTTAAAGAAGTATGGAGGAGAGGGCTTGTAGATTTTTTGGGGCTCGAAGCGGTGGGTTCGTCATGGGGTCTTTGGTCTATATGGGACCCAACTTGCTTTAAGTGTGTGGGATCTATTTTGAATGATAGGGTTTGTGGTTTGGTTTTGGAATGTCTTAATGATGATTTTATATGGTTATGTATGAACGTTTATGGGCCCAATTCCAATTCTATGAAGGAGGCTTTTTGCAAAAAATTTATCTGATATCCTTGTGGAGTTTAATTTTCCTTATTGCATTGCTGGGGATTTTAATATGATTAGATAGCCGGTAGAAATATCTTCCAATTTGATTCAAAACCAATCGATGAGAATTTTTAATCAGTTCATTATGAATCATCAATTGGTTGATATTCCAATTAATGGGGTTCACTATACCTAGTTTAATGATAGTGTGATTAACTTTATCCAAAGCAAGATAGATCGTTTTCTTATTTCTAGTGATTGGGAACAAAACTTGCCATTGGCTCGTGTTATTACTCTCTCCAAACTCTTATGAGACCATATACCTTTGTTTTTGGATACATGAATTGTGAGGAGTGGACTTGAACCATTTCGGTTAGACGTTACTTGGTTAGAACAGGGGATGTGGTTGAATTGACTAAGTAAGTTTGAAACAATAAAGTGATTATTGTAGGATATGGTTTTAAGATCCATAAGAAATTGCTGATACTGAAACATAAATTGATTCAATGGAAAAAGGATACTAAGTTTAGTATCAAGCAAAAGATTGATGAGACTATGATGAATTTAGATATGATTGAGAGGAATATTAAAAATGGGGGCATTTTAAATGATCAGATAAAAGAGGAGAAGTTTGGTTTGTTAAACTCTTTACAGGAACATCTTAGAGTTGAAGAAGTCTATTGGAGGTAGCGTTCAAGGATAAAATGGTTGAAAGAGAGATATTTAAATACAAATTTTTTCAATGTCATTGCAAACTCTAGAAGAAGACAAAATATAGTTTGGAGGGATACATTATGATAATAAGGATGCAAGGGAGATGAGTTTATTAAGTATTTTCAAGAGCTATTTTCAAAGGAACTTCCATTTACTCCAAATCTGCTTGGCTTAAA